ACTCTGTCAAGTTAAGTGATACTGATGAGTTTCTTTCTGTTTTTCTCGTGTGACCTCACCATATTTGAACTAAACTGCTGCACTAAGAACATATTCTTCATCTCACTTAGATATCTGTCCACTGGGTGTGGTGAGATTATTTTTCATAAAACCATGAGTATGTCATATGACACGAAGACCCTTTTAGAGATACTATTCTCTAATTATTTTGAGTGTTTGTGCATTATTGACGTAGAAAAATGTAATCTGAAGTTCTCATAATTATCTTGGGTGTCACCGTCCTCAATGCTCGAAGGACAGTTCAATCTTTGCATTCTATTACAGATTAGGTTTTGCAATCTGCATATTTATTTCAGTGGGAATCTTCCATGTTTACTAATTGGAGATTAACCATAGATTACATGGATGTTTAAAAGCCACACAACACTCCATTAGCTGTCAAATATATTCACTTCAAGCTTTCAAACACAATATTTGTGTGAGAGAGCAGCGGTACCGTGATGGTTGAGCTTGTTGATGGTGTTGCAGTTGCAGTCCCGTCAGGAGTTGGCTTTGATGCAATATTGTGATATTTGATTTGATTATGCTGATTTGATTGTGCGAGGTCATCCATCCCTGCCTGATGTCTCCGATATCCTTCAAAAGCATTTTGCTTTATTGGCTCTCTGGTCTACACGCCAGAATCTCAATGCTTGTTTGATGGTATTAATGCACCATTTAAATGCAGAGCCCGGAGCCGAGGGGAGGGGGAAACCCATGCAGGGAGAGAGCATGCATTGAATATGAAAGTCAGATGTCAGAGGAGTCAGTGAAGGGGAGGAATTTTCTCAGAATGTAGAAACTACACAGGAGTGGAATATCAAATGTTTGAATCTCTTTCGGGGATTTTGTAGTGTGACTAAAAGAAAGGCGCTCTTCTCTTCCAAAAAGGCAAAAACTTACAATCATCCACTTCACATTTTACAAAAAGGATGCTGCCAAGCTTAGCCCACTTTGAGAAAAACGCCAAGCGTTTATGTGCCAGAATGAAGTGAATAGTGAACAGATGTACTGCACATCTGCGACTAGAACAATTGTAATTCTTTTTCTATTGAAGTGAACAAAATGATCCACTTTTCAAGTCCAAAATGCGTACGGTAAAACTACAATTTAAATGATGTGCAAAACGGAGAATAAATCATTTTTATCTCGCCACCATTTCTCAAGTTATCCCTCTTTTTAAATGCAATCAACACGTGTAAGTGCTCACGTTCTCCACCATCCTCAAAATGGCATTCATTCATTAGAATTGCAAATGTAGGAGAGAACATTTAATCAAAACAAACTAAATCTATCATTAAACATCTCGACTTTGTGAAGAAAAACACTGTCTGAAACTTGAAGAAAATGAAATGTGTGTCCAATGAGTCATTGCTTGGGGAAATCAATTCATTTAGTCATACAGAGGTGCTAAGTTATTTATTGCCTGTCAGCGTGAGCTGTTAGTTCAATTTAATTTCTTGCTGCAGAAGGAACAGAGACACTGCAGAAGAAATTTAAGGAGAATGACTTTATTTATGCAAAACAGGATGTGCTCTTAGAATAATGGCATCCACATTTTTCACCAGCGTTTTTTTGTCCCCATGGTGATTCCCTGTGGTACCAAAGTAAAATGGAGTTTTATTTTGGACTGACAGCTTATCTTTCTCCATAATTCCTTGTGCTTCTACTGCATCGCTTATCATTTCCATTAGCTAGTAGGAACAAAGCCCGAGCCTAAAGAAAACGCAGCCCAAATCTCAGACTAGGGAAACTGTAGCACACGTGAGACGGACACTTCTGGTAGCTCATAATTCCAAACGGTGTAGATTGCCGACCTTTCGCATTTCAAGCATGCTACAATATTAGGCATGCAGTACAGTTGAGCTTACATCAATGGGCTGAACCAAAGCTAGCAGTGTTACTACATACATGTAAGCTTAAACAATGTTTGCACTTGCATGCTTCCATTTTGTACAACAAGGACTACATTCATTTTGTCAAGAACCAAAGGAGAGAAAAGTGGAAGACTTGCTTGTTGGAGAAAGTTTCACTATTCTTTGGGGAAATTGGATGCTGGTAAAAATAATTATATTTGCAAACCATTCAGTAATGGCTTAACTTGTTCATTCTAGACTAAAGTCTTGGAGCAAGATTGACTAAAAATTGCTTTTTTTGCTAAACAGAAATACCCATGTTGTGCTGCCATGTTTGTGCTTCCACTTTTTTAATTTGTTTTGGTATTTGAGTAAAAACTGTGACAAGAACAAGAACACAACAAAGTGAACAGCAGCACAATAAATATCCATCTCTTATTTCCAGTGTTTGGAGCAACAGCAAATTTAAAAGCACTAATTTCCTGTTGCTATAGGTGAAATAGCTGACAACTGCAGGAGATTACTCTCTGATAAGCGTCACTTTGGATAAATGAATTGAATTGTAGATTGAGGTTCATTGACTTTGATTTGGCGGGCGAGGTTCCGCTTATACTGCACAGTTAGCATCCTGGGAGGAAGAATATCATGCACAAGTAAACTCACAGAACAGCTGATGAACGTCATTCAGACGTGAGCTGTCTGTCTTCAAAATACCCCCAAAAAAACATGTCTCCCCTGCTCGAATCAAACAACAAGAAGAAAGTGGTGACTTGTAGTCTATGCATTAGACGGAAAACTTCACCCACCGCCGAGAGGTTATTCTAATCCCATGGAGCACTGAGCTAAACAACGTGCATCTACTAACAAAGTTGCCTGTAACCCGGGACTAAACAGACTGATAGCTAGGTATGATGTTGACAATATGCTTCCATATCAACTGCTGAGAACGAATTAGCATTAGCATTAATGATGATGACAATGTTATATGAATTTGTGCGTCGTCTCCTCTCACTACGCCACAGCAACATTAAGTAATGTAAACATTAAAGGTGCACTATGTAGTTTTGGTAGAGAAAAGTGAAAGTTGGAGAAGTGTACAGATTCTGTGGTATATGTTCATAACTCTAAACACAAACTGGCCTCAGAGGAAAAATTGGTCCCTGTAACACTGTTTGAAGATAAAATGCTACGTGGGACATTATGGTGGTGGGCCCGCAACAGTGACACTGTAACTCTCCTGGTCCCTTTTAAGCTCTAAACAGAGCTTTTTTTTTTTTTGAGTGAAGTTTGAATATTCAGTTCAGAAAATATAGCATAGAATTGTTTCACTTCTCCAACTTTCACCACCAAAACTCCACAGTGCACCTTTAATCTGAGTATTGAAGATTAAAAAAGTGACTTAAGTTACTTCTTCATAGTAGGTACCAGTAACTCAAACTAGTTACTCATTTTCACTAACATTCCCATCACTACTTATTTCTTCTAAACTGGACTTGGCTCTTCACACTTTTGAGCGTCTTAATTAGAGAACATCGCATCACAGTACAAAAGTGTAGGTAGTCTTACATTGCGAGAAAGTGGTTGGAGACTTTTGGCCTTTCTTGACTCCTGTGAAGTATTCATCGAAAAGTGCCAAAATCCATCTATTTTCATATCCAACGGGCCACCGTAGGTAGTCTATAAAGTCTTCCAGAACGTTCAAGTTCATGACTTAAGCACCTGGGATCGATTTAAATAACATGAAGATCAAGGGATTTGATCATATTGGTTGTATTCTTTTTGGCAGACCCCTCAATCTTTATTACATAACATTAAAACAAACTCAGCCTTCAAATCAACTTTTTTGACCAAGTGTTATGAGAATGATTTACCAGACGCCTGGTCACAACTCTGGGAATAATGCTAGGTGTGGCTACTACTCACATAAAGTGTCAGGTACTAGAACTTTCAGCTTAACCTTTGTTTGTGACGATAATAGCTTTGCCATTCATGGAGCGGCAAACCTAAAGATCTTAATGTAAGTATCATCTCATCTCTGTCGCTCCATGTTCAGCCCACTCTTTTTTGAAGTCTGCTTTTAAAAGCCTTTTATCTGCTCACACCAAATCATAATCGGTGTTCTAACAGCACTAAAATGACACTGATGAATACTCACCAATTATAGCTGCCAAGAGCACTTCACAATCCTCGTATCCTTTTAAACTAAAGTGGATATTTTCTTCTTCAAGTCATCAATGAGTGCAAAGACACCTGTACATAAATACATAGAGAATGATGCAGTTCACCCTCCCCAGCCTCTTTCCTCCCATGAAATAAACCTTTTCAATGGAAATACACAGGAGGAGACGGGCTTTTCATCCTACATGTCATTGTCTACTTTAAGGTAATGGGAGAGATGGCTGTTTTGTTCTGCATCTGAATGTAATGACATACACAGAGAACCTGTGCCGCTTATCGAGGAACAAAGCCTGACCTGAATGAATTATAGAAAATATATCCTACAATATAAAGCAGACGCTATTAAACGTGAAACACGTGCAGAAGGCAACGCTTTTTATTTTAATTACTTTAGTGGATTCAAATGGGCTTCTTTTCTTTTTACTTGTAGTCTCATGACTGTATTCTACATTTATTACATATTTTGATGTTCTTTTTTTTTCTGTATATAATGGAAATTAATTATTTTCCTTTCTTTCAAGATATCCATTCTGAACCCAGTTTTAATTTAGCTAAATGTGATATTTCCAGGCATTAAGCCTCACAAGTCAAACATGTGTTCTGGAGAGCAGCACTGCAGGCGTATCTCCTGTAGATGACAGCAAAACGGAGCTGGGACCTGCTCAGCTTACATCGAAGCAACAGGGCCCTCCGTTTCTCTCACGTGCTGAAACCTTTCAACAAACATCATCCTGAAAATGTTTACTTTTCTGCTGTCTTGACTTTTATGACTGATATAAATAATCACACTCTGTCCTCTGCGTTCATTAGAAACATCACGGTGGAGCATCACGGATGTAATTTGGCAGGTAAACACTGCCATCTAGTGACCAGAGAGAGAAATACATCTTTAAATATCAGTATGCTTTTGAGCTCAGATGGGATTCATTCAGAGGGTAGAGGACAAGCCTTTTAATGTTTAATCTTCACTAAACATTCAGCACAATCATTCCAATATGGAGCAGGAACATGACAGTTTGAATGGCACACTCGTAGAACAATACATATCACACAAAAAAAAAAACAGTCATAAGTTGCCATTTCAAACAAAAACTAAAAATATCCGTATGTGGGAGTTTCATTTTTGTATCAGTATGAATGATTAAACCATAAATAAAACAACAAAATGCTCTACACAGTTTTTGTTACGACAGGTTTTTTCCCGTCGCTCGCTTTCATCAGCGCCTTAATGGCCCTCGCCCTCATTTCCAACTCCAGAAGCTCCAGCTGCTGAATTGACGGCTGACTCCCTGCCGCCCCACGACTTGTAACAGATCCACTTTGAACAGGTGAGCTTACATCTGGAGGCGGCGGAGGTGCAGTCACTTCTACGGCCTCTTTATTGGATGTCGAAGAAAATGCCAAAATCTCGCTAACACTTTTGTCTATGTCGCTCTGAATGTCTTTCTTTGCTTCTGTTGGTTTACCGCCTTTGGGGGGTTCGGGATTTGCCGGGTCAGGTTTAACCGCTGGGTCAGCATTTACAGCCTGGTCAGCATCTTCCTGGTTGCTGTCCGCTGCTTTAACCCCTCCGTCCACGGCTTTCACAGCCTGCTCCTCTTTATGTCCCTCGATGTCGCTGTCGTAAGTGTCTGCGTTTATACTCAGGACGTCACTCTCCTCGCCTGACACACCCTCTGTGAAGACAATTACACAAAGACCTTTTAAATGTAAAACACACATTAAACATTCTGTCTGTCTTTGAAGTCTGTGATACACAGCCTAAGGGATGTTATTTGTGTGAATTACATATTCATTACCTTGCTTAATGTCCTCAGTTTTTGCAGTTTCTTTGACGCACGATGTAGAGTCAACAATATTGTCTTGCCTTGTTGGGGGAAAAAATGAAATTAACAAATAAAAATGTGTGGGATGACAACATGTCCATTGCTTTGATCCTAAAATGACATCCAAGATGAATCACAGAGCTATTTACTCACTGGCTTTCCACGGTCTCTTCTGGATTTCTGTCTCCATTTCCAGATGTAATTTCTTCCCCTGGACACAAATAACAGTTTTTAGTGAATTCATTATTTTCCTTATGTTAGAATGTTCTGAGTGAAATATGTATCTGTGAAAAGGTCTTACCTGATAAGATCTGGATCAGATTTGTGTCTGTGATCAGCTCCAGTTGCTCCCAGCACAGCTTTTTCATTTCGTCTAAACTACAGTCCTGTGAATGATAATTTGTTGAAATGGGTTCTTGGACTGTGAGGTACTTAAATCGCCTCTGGAGAAAACAGCAGATTGGTCAAATATATGTAGTTTGATATGTTTTGTCACAACAACAAAAAAAAAACACTTGCTCTCTAGTTGCCAAGAACATAAACAGGTTTTACATTCTTGACATTTTTACTGCACAGATCCATAGCTTAGTCACGGCTATAGAGAAGAAGAACACCCAGTGTGGAACAGAGACAAAAACTATTTTGTATCACACTCAAAGAAATGTTTGATTCGGAAAAGTAAAAAGGTGAACAAGGTGACGTTTTAATAATGAAATGAAATCAAACACCTTTAATATATGCACCATGATTAAGAACGAATATGGTTTTTAAAAATGAAGGAACAAACCTGCTCATGAAACGATCACAATAACTCAAAGTGCTTTGTCATCCAGAGCCGGTGATGTTTGTGATACAGCCGACAGAACAAAATATGGCCACACATGTTGGAAGACAACACTTGGCAAAGCAAAATATTTGCTCCTTAAATCCACAAACTGTAGTTAAAACAACAGTGTGACGGCACAGAGGAAACTCCTTTTAGTCATTTATGGACTCTCATCTTGAAGAAACATTTATGGAAGTCTAAAGTCGCATCACAAATGTTGTGAAATGACACTCGGTAAGACTTTCTCCTTTGATAAAAAAAAACACGACGGACAAAATGGAACGGACACATATGTTTGAAGAGTTAAAACTTTCAGACCAAGATTTAGTGTGTTCAATTGTACACATTTACCTTTAGTTCATCTGGCAGCATTTTACGAAGTTTCTTGTCGCCCAGCACGCGGAAACACTGCTCCAGCATCTCCTTTCTGTCGCCGGCAAAGGCAGTGATGGGCTTGAACTGCAGGCTGAGGTCAAGTCCCCCGTCCTCGATGTCGCTGCCAATCCTGTCCAGCTCCGGGTCGGCGAGCTCATCCTTTGGTTCCCGCTGGAGGAAAATGGCACATTGTGTGAAACAGAGAAAAGTCTTGGAAAAAAGTCAATGTACGTTGCTTTTATGAAGAGGATAAAGGATGAAACCCTGCAACATCAACTATGTTAAGCTTAACAGGCTTAAGTTTTGTGTCATAATAAATGTTTTGCAGCATAATAAGAGTTAGATTGTGGTACTGTAAGTGAAAGATATCTTAAACATGCATTAAAATGACAGACTTAGTGATTGCACTCAATAAAAACACAGCAACTCCTACTGCCCAACAAAGGCAAAAGGCAGTAACTTGAGTTTTTGTCATTTTTGGAACATTTACAGATGTGCTTTATTATGTGGACAAATATCTTGAGTCAATTGTGTTGTTTTTTTTGAGAAAATAGTAGGTTGTATTTGCCTCAACCAAAAGCCCTTGAGAAACCAAGGCAGAGTCTTATAAGGGTCTTTGTCTTTGTACTGCAGCATTCAGGAATGCTCAAACTGAGTTAAGGTCTTCTGTCTTTGTTTTACTGCAGTGGAGTTAAAGGTGTTACGCCTTTGTTTTAATATCTGTCATCAAGCACTTCTGACACACACAGTAGCTTGACTGAAGTGTAGCAAAGAAATAGTGTTGGTTGTGTTATTTTAACCATGCAACCAGGTGAAATACAGTACTAAATACAGTACTAAATACAGTATCAAATACAGTATCAAATACAGTACTAAATACAGTACTAAATACAGTACTAAATACAGTACTAAATACAGTACTAAATACAGTATCAAATGGAAGTGAATGCCTTTGTCCTTGGCATGACCCCTTATTATTGTACAGGCAATGCAACGGCAGAGTACCTTACCTTCCAAATAAGGGTCAAAGGTCATGTTTGAGCTAATATTTTATGAACATTAACAACCTCATTAAAAAGACAAAGAATTGCGACATTTCCAATATTCTGCAAATCATATGGCTGGACAACAAAAAGACTTTAAAGTCATTTTTCTCAGTTCTCCACTCGAGTTAAGGTCTTTTGCCTTTGTAGGGCAGCCTATTTAGAACGTGTTCCCTTTGACATGTAAGATAATAAAAACAGGTGTAAAGACATTCCAAAAATGTACACATATCTCCGTTAACCACATTAATTCTGCTTATTATTCTTAGTCTGATGTCATTTCTGTTCATTGGGTACCTTCTTTTTTTTTTTGGATTACAAATCAATGTGTAGGTGTAGTTTTTAATCATCACAGCACCCCTGGGTGCCAGACACAGACAGAACACACTGTGAGCCTAAATACACTCCATACAGTCCATTTGGATGAGAAGACTGTAGTCAGGACATCAGAGCAATTTAACATTGAAAGGTGCACAGAGCATCAATACATCCCAACTATGAGGTTATAAAGTTATATATTTTACTATTATTATTATCATTATTATTTAGCATCAATATATATATAGTGTAAATTCTATATATTTTTATTATACTAGTCTATATTATATAACATTTCATTATATTACACTATATTGTTCATATTGCACTATATTATATTATACTACATTATATTGTATAACTGCACTCTGCATTACTGTGGTACAACACTGCCTCTCTTCTCTGCTGTTTACATCACTTGCTGCTATTTATTTATCATACCAAGTCACTTTAATCATCACTTGTCACTTTATCTTGTCATTCTCTGCAAATACTCAATTCCCCCCAGTTAATTTCATCATTCATTTTGTACTTGTATATACCCTGTTTTTATTTGTAGTTTTATTTGTATTTATCTTGTCTATTCTGTTTAATGTGTATTTTGAATTGTTCTTATTTTAATTTCGGATTGTATATTTAAACACATTTTCACATTTATTTTCTCTGTGATTTTTAATGTGTTTTTTTCCCACCCTCTGTCATGATGTTTTCATGTCTTTGAATTACCTTGTTGCTACAATGTGCTATATAAATAAATGTACCTTTCCTTTAACATAACTCTTCTTCTTAACAGTAAAAAAAAAAGTAAACAAGTACACCTTCTTAATTTGGTAACACATGGGGGACCTTTATGTTATTTATCATAACAAAGCCTCTTTAGATTGAACTACTCACCTCCGCGTTTGCTTCCGTACTTCTGCGTTTAGTGTTGTCATGTCGTTCTTCACTTTGTGAGTGTTTCCTTTTCTTGTCAGAGCTACTTGACTTCTTTTTGAGCATTTTTAAAATAACAAGAGCTTCGTCTTCTTAAAAAAAAAAAAGGCGTTCGTGAGCTGTGGAGATGAAGCTGAAAGTCGCGCGGAAATTGCGTCATAGGGAAGCGACGCATTTTGTAGTTCTTTCTGATTTCTTGGTTACTGCCATCAACTGCACGGGGGTGGTACTGATTTTCTTTTTTTTTTTTTTTCTTTTTTTAAACATCAATGGGAAGGAATAAAAGTCACTCCTTTGAAGAAAAATCTACCATACTGTAAACTGATACTGTAGTTATTTAGATTATAATGTAAAGAGGTCATTAGGTTTATTCACTGTTCTCTAATGTCAGTCAGACCTGACAGAGTTCAGAGCTTAGAACACCAAGTACAGCTTAGCTTAGCTTGACAGCTTGTCAACTGTTCTTCCTGATATCTGCAAGGATGTTTGGTAGACTTGTTGTCTGCTCCAGTGTTGCAGACGTCACAGTTTAGTGTAGGTGGGTCAATGTGACCCTGATAATGGTAATGTCTTTTGGGGATATCTGCGATGCCTTTCGAGAAGTTCTGCAGATGTGATTGAGCAAGACACGAGTACAGAAGTGTGATGTTGAATCATGTCTCCTCGAGGATTCCTCTGATGTATAAACTTTCATCAACGTAAGCCATCTGAGTCAACTGAGTCTTATTGCGTGGAGTCAAGTCTTAGTAATTTCTTCAACAGATACTATAAGTTAACATGCTGTTTCTTTATTTGCCCCATAGGTTAATCAGTGTCATTTAACCTTATTAATTTTCAAATGCACAACATTTATTTAGAATTGCCTATTGTTAAGGCTGCATTCAAAATGTTCTAAATTGATTGCCTGACTTATTAAATGGGTATTTTATTGCTAAACTAAAATAGTCCAGAATTTGTAAATTTAGCCTCTAAATTAACACAATCTCATTTTACGGACACAGCAACAGACTTCCATTCTCGTGTTCGGTCACTGTCTGGGAGTCTTTTTGCTGCATAACTCCCAGGTTTTCTTCTGCACCTTTCGCTCATGCTGAGAGCTGTCGTTCCTGTGACCTCTCAAGCTGTTGATGGAAGTGCAAATACGTTCAAACTGTATACCATTATGATTTTACACTTCAAAGCTAGCTGGGATTACCAGTGACAGTCAATCACAAGTCCTCTTCCTGTATCTCACACAGTCTTGCCATCTCCCAGTTTCCATCTGCCTTGCCATTTCATCAAATACAGCTGTATCGGATTCATTACTGCAGCAACCTTCAAACCTACAGCGGCTGCTTATTCACATCGTTCAGGTTTCACATTCAAACTGTTTCAAAGGAATTTACAACAGAGTTTGGGTTTGCATAAAAATGAATCATAGGTTAGGTATATTTGGAAGGCTACATAATAAGAATGCAAAATTTAAGTATGAAAATGTATTGTAAGCACATTTAATTATTTGATCAATGGACATCTGTGGAAATCTCAGAAATAAAGAACAATAAAAAAAAAAAAATGTACCTAAATAGTTTGGCTGGCATCACAGAAAGAACAAATAGATTATTAAAAATTCCCTTATCATTACAACTAAAGCTTAAAAGGGGATCAATGAAACATGTTTAGATATATATCACCATGCAGCACAATACAAAGATATATATATATCCTACCTAACACTCATTAAGTTTACGTGCATGACGAGATTCACAACAAAAACATCCCATCCGGAGCACATTACATTACATTTCGTCTATAAACAACTCTGCTGCCCTCCTTATTACCACCTAGGTAGCCATGCATTTTCTTTAGCTGGACCAGGGACATGGGTTTCAAGGTGGTGACGACACAAACAAGTTGTAAATCACACTAATTGGCTTCCCCGCCTCTCCCTGAAATAAGTTGGGGGCCAATACGATGACTGCCCGGGCGCCATGGCGACAGCTGTCTCCACATAATGCAGGTTGTTATCCTGATGCCATCCGCCAAATTATGCAGGGGATATGGTGGAGGGTGGGCATCGATCACAGTCCCGTCACAATGTGTTTTCTTTGCAACATCTGCTCCCATGTGTCGGGATATCGCCTCGTTAAAAAAGGGCAACGACGAAGCTGGCAAAGTTGCGTTTTGAAGCCATGAAAAGGAAAAACAACAACACTCTGTAAATGAGAGTGTGTTAAGTGTGAGGACTACAGCCAGCTCCAGAAAAAAAGTATGATTTATCTTTTCACAACAACATATCATTGCATTATTGAATTAGACAGCGCTTACATAAATGCTGTTATACGCTGCTCAGTCTTTAAAAGTGTCTGCAGAATAAAAGGCGAAGTTGTATGAAGCCAAAGCTGGGGTTGGTTGTTCAGGCCGTCCACCAACGATACCGAGGAACCTAACAGAGAGCTCAGGAGCTCCCAGGAAAAGATGTGGTTAGTAACTGAGAGAGAGATAGAGAGAGAAAGAGATAGTAGCTCAAGGTGCCAGTTTTGGTGCACAGTGTGACATCTTTTTAACAAGCCTCACAAGACAACTATTAATTGGGACAGAAGACTGCATCAGATTTGATATGGAGCACACATATAAGCAATACTCAGAGTTACGCAGAGTTACTTATTTCAGCACTTCTGGAAGTTTTGAAACACATATTTCGAAGGCATATTAAATTGTGTGTGAACTCTTCAATCAACACCCGTCCTTGACAAATCCAAACTTATTGACAATGGGAGTTTTTCAGTGAAGAAAAACAACTTCTGTGCCAGCTGCGATAGAACCTTTTTAGCACGTCAGACACACACCTGAGAGTCAGCTTCAAAGACTTTTTGTGAGCCAATTACTCCCCTGAAATGTTAAAAATATGACTTTTTAAAATCTCTGCCAGGTTAGAGCATTTTGTGTACGTTTGTGAAGGTGATCAGGTTAACACAACAAACCATGTGGTTTTAATACACTGGAATTCTATAGCTTTTGTTTGGTGTTGTGGCAAATATTTAATGCATGAAAACATCTCCATCTTATGATACAATAACCATATCTTTTATGGCAGCATCCTGCTTGTTTCAGTGTCATTCTCGATGTCTGAGAAAATATGTATCTTCATTTTGTTTTTAAAGTGAGTGCTTTATGTAACAGGAGAAAACAAATCTTACACCAAACAGTTTGTTCTAGATTTGCTTTCCAAGACTATGACAATTGCTATTATTTCACTGCTCACTGAAAAGACAAAAAACTCCACGAAGAAATTTGCTAAATTTAAGGTTATAATCCATTTTAATTAGACACCAGCGATTGCGATCTTTCAATTCTGTGCAAAAACACAGTGAGCAGTTACAGTAAAGTAAGCGGCCATTTTTAGCAAACTCATGTTAGCTAAGAAAGACTTCTTTCAAATGTAAAGTGTAGCACGGTAAAAAGATAGACCTTGACTCATTATGTTTGTAAGAGCTAAGAAGTGGCTTAATGCTTCAAAACCCATTAACTACTGTTAGCCTACAGCTAATGTTAGCATTGACTGATTCTTCGCTAACATTACAGTGAGCAGTTCTTTCTAGCACATTATAGTTAGGTAGGAATTATTTACTCTTCTAATGTAATGTGTAACTATCAGATGAGGAGAAAAGCATTCATCCATTTCTAACGATAAAGCGGTAAACGCTAAAATAGCTTAAGATTTATTTTGCTTGCATACGTCACCATGTCCCCCTAGATTTTCAGTTTTGTTACAGTTGCCGCTCCTGTGAACATTACTGTCAGAATCTCTACTTTCATATGACTTACATCCGCAACGGAGCAGTGTGACATTATAAAAGCATTTGACCTTCCTGCCCTGATCATGACATTTGAAGGAAATGGCCCCCATAGGAGTATGATCAATGAAAACACAGGGATAACCAGGAGGCCTGTTTTGCATTTAATAGATATAATGGTTAGCAATAACCTTTAACACTACAGATATCCACATTAAAGTGTTTCAAGTTATAGTCTTAAAGTAACTAATAGTACCACATAAAAACACTGAATAATGGCACTAAAGCACCAAAGAACTAATCACTCTGTTTGGCACAGGATTCTCACACAACAGCTCTCCTGCTTCCCCTCATTCAGCATGTTGTTAACTTAAATATCAATTGTTCCCACTTAAGCAGCAGCTTTTCTCCACGGTGCAGCTCGGCAGCTTGTTAGAGGACTGCAAAAACAAGCCGGTGTGTACACAGTTGCTGCCTTGAGTAATGAAAGCCAAAGACGTCTATTAAAAATCTATTCATTGCCTCACACAGCTTTCTAAGAGAACTGTGGCTCATCAAGAACAACAGTCAGTGCTGAGTGAAGGTGTTTCCAAAGGGGTGGGGAGGGGGTATTCGAAACAGGCAACATAGGAAAAGAGTGTTGTCAGTTAACACTCAAGCAGAGGCATATTTAAAATATTCATCAGCCCTGTGAGGTTTGAATTAGACATGTTTAAGTGCTCCAAGTGTGATGCCTTGTTTGAGAAAGACAAATGAGCAGCAGCTTCAAGGGATGAGCACGATTCAGATTTTGTGAGACAGTGTTGTCTAAAGAACAATAGGGAAGTTTCAAAGTTGTAGACGTTACTTCAACGCTGCCCGCCATGGCAGCTAGAAGAAGAAAAAAAGAGAGAAGGCTGTAACAAAGATAAATGAACTGACAATACCGCCTCTACTTCAGGTCCATGTACGTTCTCTGTTTGGAGCTTTAAAGAAGCAGAGTGAGATTTTCTGGCCCAACTTCACCAACTACTAACTATTTGGCGCTTTCAAAGGCATAACATGTTCTTCATCAGTAAACTGAGCTTGTTCAACTGCCACAAAAAGTTAACTTTCAACCTGTGCATTGTTTAATGCTTCTCTTGTAAATCTAAGGTGTGTTGAAAAAGGTGCTTTACTTACATAACTTATGTTTACTATGTTATACCAGTGTGTAAATTTTAGCACTTCTTTAAAACCTTGGCGACGTCTGAGAGCTAGTTCAGGCAGACGACACCAGCTACACACTTGACATGCGTCATTATCCACAATCACCTGACAACACCTCCTGCCAATTAGTGGCCTATTTAAGCTGCAAGCCTTCGTTCACTCCCTCGGCTCTTTCATTGCCAGTTC